ACTGGAATTTAAAAATATATTTTTAATCTCCTTGATATCATCATTTTGTTATTCAATAAAATACTTTGATATTTTCTCTAATCTTCTTGTTGTATGTTACAATCAAACTTTTAACTCTAAGATTTGTCAGTGCATTGTCTAAGAAGCCTTTATATGGGACATCAATATTTTTATCCCCAAATTTCAAGCAGGCAAATCAATCTTTATTTTTCCTACATCACTGTTATCTTTGTTCTTACAAACACCATGAAATAAAACTAAAGGCCTCAAAGTTTGGAGGAGCAACCTAACAAAAAGCAAAAGGTGTCAACTAATAGACAGTGCAACATTCAAGCCACATAATAGTGTAATAAACACGTATTAACACACACTTGGGGCAAAGCATGATTTGGCTTGTGAACTAAAACCATTAATATTTTGTCTATTAAGAGCCACATTCTAAGCAAAAACCTTAACCTTAGAAGGAGCAAAAACCTTCCAAAACTGGGTGGGAAGGCAATATTCTGGATATATGGGTTTGTTCTTTTTAAAGACAAAAATATAATGGCATAGAAAAGGCACCAATGGCTGCTGCCATGTTCAAGGAGAATATTACAAGTTTTGCAAAGATGCAAAGGTTAAATAGATCGACAAACTCAGCCCCATTAAGAAAAGTGTAAACCATCAAATATATGAGATATTCTATGCCAAGGATTCCTGATCCTGGCAAAAGCTGAGAATTATCTTCAAGCTCTCTTGTTCTCTCTATCCACATGACCCATCAAATGGCACTAGAGACGTGGTAGAAGTTCCTCCTTGGTTTATGAGCTGGGATACCATGCCAGTCCCATTATTGATATTTGATTGAGCCACTAATTGCACAAGGAGTTAAGGAGCTGAGAGGCACAATCCCAAAGCTTTCTCACTTAAGGGACCAGAGAAGAAGATGGCTTCGGACTTGTGCTCCTTGTGGCTAAGAAAGAACTTGTTTACCATGATTCGGCCTTACTTCATGGGATTTCAATTGTTAAAATCCTTTCCTTGTCAGCCTCTGAACTGAAAAAAATAGTTTTCCACATTCCAAATATGCTTCTAAAGAGATTTCTGTAGAATCTTGTTAAAAGCCATCAAATAGTTGTAGTAAAAGCCATTTTGGATAGGTGGATCATGGGTTTAAGTTATTAACCTGTACTTGTTAATCTTTTTCTCACTCGCCTCACCCACAGATGTGGTAGTAGTGTCTCTTTTTTCCTCATTCTAGAAAGTGAAAGCTCTCTCAAAGATGAGAGCTCTATTTTGATAATGCTCCTTCATAAATTATATGTTATTTTTTTCTTTTAAATGTCACAAATATTCCTGGTTTCCTTTTTGTTCATAGATAGTTGAAGGTTAAGTTTTAGACCAACCAATAGTTGTATTTGCTTATAGGTTTTTTTTGCTTTATGTGTGTGTTTTTCTTTTTCTTTTTTTAAATCTTAAAGAAAAATTTAATAAAACATTTGAAGCCAGAAAAAAGGTTCTAATTGAGTCTTTTCGAATTTCATCCTCTTGAAGGTATCAATTAGAATTGTGCAAAAAAGCTCTTGAGGAGAACATTATTGTATATTTGGGAACTGGTTG